GGGTGTTGGGGGCTGTATGGGGGTGTTTGGAGGGGGGCTATGGGGTTGTTGGTGGGGTTATGGACCCCGCTTTTTTTTCTTCTTTTTTTTTGCTTTGCCGACCGGCTGCCAACCCATAGGTGCCTTGAGTGGAACGGTCAGCTGGTTGGCAGTCGACCAATCTAGGGGTGCCGACCGCCAGTGCGACTACTCTGTATGCGACCATGATATACTTGTACCCCCCTTGGACATAACAAATCTAGCTTTGTAGAACATGTGTCAAACTGTTATCCATCATCGAATTGACACGTGTCCTGCAAAGTGAGATGTCCACTCCGCCTCTTTACAAGGACAGCAGTCCCTAACATTCTAGAAGAGCACAGGATGCGATCTCTTAAACCACCAGTACCTTTCTCAGCTATCGATGCCGAGCCTAAAATTGCCCTGTGCGCCAAAAAAAAACGAACCAGCGCGGGCCTCATTTTGCCTGGCGCCGCCAGCCATTTCGCACCGGTAGTCCGGAGCCTGCCCACCTCCCATGTTAACCGGCAGGCATTTGTTTTTCAAGCAGGGAAAGGTACTGGTGGTATAACCTGTGCATCCAGAGATAAGTGGTTATGGCGAGCCGCCCTACGCATTCAGTCATCAGGCACGTGACAATCGCATTAGGTGAAAGTAATTAAGGACATTATTATCGCTTAGTGATTTACATCTGCCTGTTACAGAAAACCTATACTTGCCAGCGACTCAATGCAGCGAATGTCACTCTTCACCTCGAAGATCACTGACCTGCACAACAACCATTAACCAGCTGTGTTAGGATATCCTCCTCCTGATGACTCGCAACAATGGATGGCGACAGTTCAGCAGCTATCAGCGAAAACTGGAAAGTGATGATTCAGCCATCAGCCATAAAAGTGATCCTCCTATCTCTTATGGCTCATGGCTAAACCATCACCATCCATCTTTCAGCCTTCTGGTTACCACCAGTGGAGACTGTCACACCCGTTTTCTGCATTACTTGTGTGTGTGTGTAGTGAGTGTGTTTTGGATTTTCACCACAACAGCCGCTAATCCACCCAGATGAGTAGAACCAAATATAGCCAGTGACATGGAGCGCAACAAATCAGTTGAAAAACTTTGAAATCCCTCTGTAACTCTTACTTTGGCTGTCTTTGGGGGTACTCCTTTCATCTGTTCTTGCAGCTCCCTTTTTTTCACTATGCCTCCCACGTACAAGGCAGTGGCCTGGTTGATTGTGGTTGAGCACCAGCTGCCCACACCCCCGTGTGCCTTAACGACACACTTGCACGTCATAAACGGAGGCAAGAGTAAAGGGGGAGGTATACTCCTGTTCATTTTCTTCAGATCTTCAGCTTATATTTTGTCTGTTCTATGAATGATGGTCATTCGTATGCATTTACTAGTAGCACACAAGAGGAGGGAGGAAGGAAAGGGGTAGGGGGTGGAGTTCTGTAAGAAGTGAGGGGCGGGGGAGGGAGAAGGGGTAGCAGCGGAGGGAAGTGGAAGGGCAAAGAAGAAAATCGAGGAAAGACAAACTTCACAGGGTTCTGAATACTCACTGCTGGAGCAGACTACTCTAGACTACCGTCTTCACCCGAACAGAACACCCGTCCATTATCGCTGTATCTAGACTGGAAGTTGCCCCAAATACAGCTATAATGAGCGGGCATTTTATTTGGGTGAAGACGGTAGCACAAGAGGCTAGCCAGTGTTTCGATTGAAGGAGATGTCGAGTTGATGAGCTGTCGTTGCCTATGGTAAGTGGCCACCCCCACACAGACTGGACAGGACCGGCACTGCATCAATTCTCACAGTCGCAGTTCCTGCATTGAATAGCATGGTGTAGGCATATGTCACACGCTATGTGGTCCCCACATGCTAAGAACACAGAGGCACGCCGACCCCAATTGTATAGGCATTGCCGTTCCAGCCCGTCTACCGATTGGACATGACATGTCAGGGTGCCGTGCATGGGTGCAATGTCGGTTATTAACTCGTATAGTGTTTTTGTGTTAGGGTTTTACACTTTTTTTTTTTTTTTAGTACCTCCGCCAGTGTTGGGAAATTAGGGAAAAGTGGACGTTTTCCCAAACTCCTGAAAATTCGGAGGCCGGGCCCGACGACGGCTGCCATTGATAAATCTGATCGGCGGCCGTCGTTTCGTTTCGGCCATCCGAAATGGTCGGAGGCCCACCCAAGGCCCGCTATTTTCCCACGCGGCAAAGGTACTAGTGGTTTAAACAGAACCTCATGGCTCTGGCTCCTACCATTCTTGGGAGCAACAGTCCGGTTCCCTTCCCCCAGCAAGTCAATAAGGAATACATAAGAGACACGCGCACGCTCCCCCCCATTATGGCTGGGAGGCCCGAGTAGACGGCATTGATTACTTCCATGAGGAAGGATGTACCACCTCTCGCCCCTGCCTAAGTTACCCTGTGCTAATTCTGCTTACCAATCCGTCCCTCAGCTGTGAAACGGTCGGGTAGGTGTGTTATACAAGAGCGTTCTGGGACGTCTATGATCCTCTTTGAAATCTCTCAAACTCTAAAATCCTATTTGCTTTATTCCCGTGTAAACCCTAAACCCTAAACCCTCGGCTGTAAGTCTATCTTACCAATTTCCTAGTCTAAAAGGGAAGACCTGTGCTATTCTTGAGCTCTAAACCCTGAACCTTGTCTGAAGGGTAATCTCTGTGAACTGATAAATCTTATCCTGCCCTACTTCATGGTTCTCTTAAACTAAATTATAGTGCTTTTACAGTTTTTGTGTTCTTTTAACTTTTTTTCCTGTTTTTTTTTTTCTTTTTAAGTTTGCACTGTGAACTGTCGACGAAAACAGCGAATTTTCGGCCCTCCATTAACCGCATGTCGAGCGACTGTCATCACGAGGGCTGATCCAAAGGAAGAGTGTTTCGCTGTTGCAAAATTTGGTCTGCAATAGGTTGCCCTGGCGGTGATAACCTTTCAGTACAGCGGTCTGTCGGCGGTTCATGTGAGAGTCCATTTTCCTCCTCAGGCTGTTGCGCCAGTTGTTCATCTTGCAAGGATGAAGGAGATCCTACTGCAGTTGCAGCAGGTGTGTGCCCAACGCTGCATGTGGGACATGCTAGGAGAGGATGGGGCGGGTGATGGCATCGGGGATAGTCCACGCAGTAGCGACACATACTTTCCATGACAGCTTCGTGGAAACATTGATGACACATGGCATATAGCTGACATGCCAGCAGGAAAGCAGGCTGACGTTCGAACTTCGCAGTTATTTAAGCATGACATATCAAGGCCGCAACGGCATATATCGGGCGGATAATAAGGGGGTGGGGGGGGGATGAGTGCAACACAATGGGTCACAGTTTTTGTGGAAGAGGCTGGCAGTGACCATCCCTTCATAGTGTTCGGAGCAGAGATTATGATGTGTGCATGCCAACCGAACTGTAGCTATGTGCGGATACAATGGCATGGCACAGCCACCATCCTCTGGAGAGGCCCCTTCACTATCTGCGGTAGAATCTGTCTGATCTACACAAGGAAGGGACACTGCCTGGATATGCACAGGGGAGGGGGGAGGTTCAGCTGCAGAGCTCGCGAGTGCACATCCGCATACTGTTCCTGGTTCACCAGCCATACCGAGTGGGATTCTACTACTCGGTGAAAGAAAAGAGTTAATGTTTCCCATCGTGTGCACCCTACCGCCATTCTCCCGTAGAGTCCATGAATTATCCGCAAAAGTGTGTGTGTGTTATAAAATATCACAACAACTTCCCCTATTCCACCCAGATGAGTAGATCCAAAGTCGTAGCAACTTTTCCTGTATTGCAGACAATGAAGGATTCTCAAGATGAGCCAATCCACCAATGAAACAGTTTTGCTTGTGAAGTCAATATCTATTCAGAACCTTACCTTTAAACAAGCAAGGAATCTCACCTTTACACAAGCAATGCAACACACTTGAGATGGGCCAACCCAGCAGTAAAAACAATACGAGACACAATAAATTCGTTATATCATTTTCTTGATTATATTTCATCAGCTAGCATTGGGAGGCCTCCCATTTTCTTTGTTTTAGTAGTTACCTTCTTACTGTGCCTATCACGTACAAGGCTGCCCACGTTGATGATGGTTGAGCGCCAGCTGCCCACATCCCCGTGTGCCTTTACAGCCCACTTGCACGTTACAAAAAGAGGCAGAGTAAAAGGGTAATTATATTTTGTCTGTTCTCTCAATGACGCTCATTCATATGCGTTTACTGGTAGTACACAAGGAGAGGGAATAGACAACAGGGAGGAGGACAAAATAAATATATATATATATATATATATATCGTCACAAACAGATATATATCGTCAAATAGAACTGCCCGGTAAACCGTAGGCAGAGAG